TATACTAAAGCTCTAAAAGAGTTGGTCTCTGTTGAGAGCGCCCTGATTCCTACTATGACGAGCGACGATGCCGTGAAGGGCAGCTTCCATGGAAACCGTTAGCTTACTGCGTCTGGACCTACGTCAGAAAACACACTCCTAGAGACTACAGTGCAACAGTTAGCAGCTTTCAGTTGTCCCAACCAATAAGAGCAAAACGGGTCCGCCTGAATTCATGACCATTGAAACTTGTTAGGGTAAGTCTTCGTCAAGTGCGCCACCGTCCCCTACATGCTATTTTCAAGGGTGATTTGTGGCTCCGGATGCTGGCTTGACCATCGCCTGTTCATATCCAAGTTTAAACTTGACCTAAGGGAAGGCTGGTTTCACCGAGAATTCACTTTGTGAATGAATGCCATTGAGAAGTATATTCCAAACTGGAAGACAATTTAGATACGTAGACTGTGACGAACTGAAGAACTTCATAATTAACCCTACCGTTTGTGGCCTGCAGGCAACTGAAGCCTCGCTAATTCTAAGCTCGCAGTACACAAAAATAGTTCCGGAGTAACCGCGGATCATGGAACACTGGCTGGAACTTTTCGGACAGTTACAATTCATCCAACTGAAGGCTACAAGCGGATACTCTCCAGTTACGCTTTAAGAACAGCACTAGCCTCTTTTTCCCCAACTTCGGAGGAGACGATCACGCCAGCCCGGCTCATAAAGACTTGGTCGTCAGAACATGACTTTTATTTGTCTGCAGTCCCGTATTCACACTCGAGCCCATCAGTGCTCAAACAACCATCGAAATAAGTACGAACATTGGCGATAAATACGCGAGCCGACGATTTTGGAATGTATTTATTTCTTTTATGTAACAGTTATGATGGGTTCGGATATACGATTATACTTGTTGTTTCAACGATCGAACCTCTTCTGTTTACTGAAATTCGTCCTTTGGCTTATATCAGCAGTGTAAAACCCACCGCGGATGCGATTTTCCTCGAGCTTTTAAACGTGGGGTTGTCAAATCCTGGAGCGACTGACGCGTATGTTTCCACAAGCACGTCATAGTTGTTCATTTTATCAAACATTGTGATTATTTGCAGGGAACACTGGCTACTGAATGTGACTATAGAGTTGTTGGCGCGGCGCGACTATTTTCATCACCCGAAGAACACACCCTAAAATGTTACAGGACAAACATAACTGGCTTCTTCTGCAGTGTCTATATACGTCGCCGCGAGCAGGGCGGACGTGCAGAGTAGGGTATCAGGGCACTAGCAAGCTTTAATCCGTTCTTCCTTTTACAGTAGTTTACTGTTCTCATTTTTTAGGTTGTATCAGCATCATGATTGCATGGAAACGGTCTTCAGTGACTCGAAGTCATCCGTGGAGGATGCTTCGGTAGGCCAGGTTTGTCAGTCAACAGTCTTCAGCCAGCTCCAGGCCGGAAATTACAAATGCTATAAGTGTTCCTCCCGCACTATCACTCCTACTCTGCTAGAAAAACTGCGGGTCAATATGCAACAGCGTCTGTCTGCAAATCTGCTGTCTGGCCTGGATCAGGGTAATCTTCACACAGCATCTGTGCCTCCATGCAGTATGAGTAGTGCCCAGGTTTTGGCCAATGCTACCGACAGAGCGCGCCAACTGGGTCTTATTGTAGATTCCCACTCGCTGGCTTCGGACAGACTTCATGGAGATGTTGGTGAAATCCCTTCCACATGCAGTAAACCGGTAGGAGTTTTTTCTTTGATAATTGGCCCTTATTTACAAAGTCGATTGTTGTTATATTCAGACATCCCAATTGCTCTTGACCTACACCTTTATTTGTCACCGTTATTTAATGGAACATTTCTTACTACTGAGTCAGCTGACTGACATGCTAAGGAGGCTTTTGAATTGTACTTGTAGTCAATCATAGTCTGTCACACGGTTAACGGAGTCTCCAAGTATCTTCTCTAGATGTGACGCTCCCTTAGTATGGCCTTAATGTTAACGCTTCGTTAAAATGTCCTAGACCCCCTGTTTAATGCGTTTAGATGGGCCAGCAGGTGTATAATACGTAGACGTTGATTCAGCTACTCTATACGCGTGACAATTTTCAGTCTGAACTTTGCTTTGACTGCGGAAAAGTAGACTGGAGTAGGTGCCACAAATCTCTAATAAAAGACCACCAAGTTGTCAAAACTTTGCTAGTTTGAGTAGGTCGAGCCGGACGAATTAGCATAGCTGAAATAATTTAATCAATCGTTTTGTTTTAGTAAGTTAATGCTTAAATTTCGAACGACAACTTTCGCATTTCATCAAGATCTTTCTGCAGGACCGCCTAAATATGTTAAAATTATCCTCATTCTTAATATAGTCTACAGAACAACGTCCACAAAAGTTCCGTTTAGGCGCCCAGACAGAGTCGTCGAGGAAAAAAGGCGGCTTATCTCTGACAGAAAACTCAACTGACATGCATTTTTCACGCGAATTTCCGCCATTTTATGCTTTTGTCTAGGGTGAAGACGGAGTCCTTTGCTGGCGTGAGGCCGAAGACCCCGATGTAAATTTGGCCATACCATCTCCACCGAGAGCTTCAAAACGCAAACAAGACCTGAGTACAACTTCGTGTAGGTCCATTTTCTATTAACTTACAAAGTCGTCGTTATTCGTTGTGTTGAGTTTTTTGGAGATCAGGCTTTCTGTTCCCTTCCTAAGAAAGCTGTTTTCCATAGAGAAAAAGTTGACCCTTTCTACTTGTCGCAAGGAATCGCAAGAGATGTTTGGCGTTTTTGAATTTACCTTTATGATACGTGTTTAATCCGCAGACGCTGACTCTTCGACGGTTAACACTAGAAAGCCCCCCATTAGTGGTCTGCAGGCCTGCAAGTCGGCTGACTCGCTCTCTGGACCGTCCACACCCAGTACTATTGCTGTTGGGGGAAGCAGTCAGACGCCTGATTCACTGACACCACGAAGTACTCCGGGCAAGTCTTATCCGCTCTCCTACAACAACAACCTCCGCATATACTCACCGACCACCGCAGATACTTCTGTGGCGGCTGGCGCATCGTCAACAACATCAGAGAACGCGACTCCGGAGAACAGCCCCCTTGTTCACCGTCAATCTGCCAACTTGTCCGCAATTGGGCATCGGAAGCGACCCAGGTACGGTTTGCGGCTTGGTTATTGCATTCTTGCGGTTAAAAGTAAGATATCCCCTAGCTAAACTGTTAAGGCTTTAATGACTTAAGGCCGGCTTCGACGTTATTGCCAATGAAAATGACTGTCGAATAGTTCAGATCCTCACGTCCTTATATTCACAACTTTTACGCAATGATAACAGTGCGATCGTTGCAGGCGGCAAAGTCTACCGGCTAGTCCACAGAGTAAGCGCAGCGGTGATATGCACATGAATTAATTTGTAGACGCAGACTGTACCACACTTTTTCTCTCGCATTCACCTTATTCGAAGGGAAAGACAAATACAGATGAACTTTGCCGGAAAAAGGCAAGGAAGACTGAAATGGCCATTTCGGGCTCGTTAGATGTCGTCAACCAGTCGTATCCAACCCCAGGTGGTGCACCATCCGAGGCTCGTCCTCGCGACCGTTTTGCTCAGAACTCCAACGGGCCACGGGCTCGTTGTTTTGCCTGCTTAGTTAAGATAACCAGAGGTGGGCTCTGACCTAGTAACTGACAAAGTTAAACATTTCGTCTACGCGCGCCATACACCGGCTATCCACTGTCTCTACCAGGCCACTACGAGAATGGCTTGGTTCTCACGTTTTTGGCAAAGCCACAAAGGTCAAATCGAGAAAGGTCCATTGCAGTCTTACTATCCTAAGGTAACTGAGTTATGCTCTCAGTTGGTAAAGCTGGAGTGACGGCTGATAATGTTTCGTGATAAATACAAGGGCGTCAGATTTATTTTTAGTGAAGAATACTTTGATACGCCGCGGCAATGGGTTCCCGGTGTGGGCTTCATTCTCACTCCTCGCCCACGCACCAGTCAACTGTTTATGCCTGTCACCCAATTAGTAATGGAATCGGGTTCAGTGGCTGGCAAAGCTGCGTAGTCACACATGACCCAGTTCCCACTACGTACGTTAGCTGTGGATATTCTGATCTGTGACGTTCCAGCCGTCATACTGACGTTGGCAAAGTGTATCGCGGGATTTCCGTTGAAGAGAGAGAGAGTGAAATACATTACTTTTTAGGAGAAGGTGTTGCATGTGTGTGTGTGCGTGTTGGGAGCTAGTGTCATAGGTGCCACATCATTGGTGTGATATCCGAAACGCCTGACGCATTTTGAGTGGGACAACAGTGCCCAGGCAGGGTAATCAACCCGACGTATGCGTGTGGCCGGACATAATTCTGGGTGACGGTACTAAAAACCAGGGCCGTCTAGTAATCATCGTGCTGTTTAAAAATATTGATGAAGACGTTTTGGTTGGTGGTTTGAGCACTG